ATGACTCCAGGACTTCCCAATTCGACGTACTGTTTTGGAGCTTCATTTTAAAGTGCCCCACCCTTCGCGTCAGAAGCCAATATCACTCAGGTTAACGGATCGCCTCCACAAGAGTACCTACTCTAGACTGCGAGACTTGGTTCTGTCGATCTGAAGACTCTGGTTGCCCCTTACCGCCGTTTCTGCGGTATAGCGTGCATTAAATGGATGTAGAATGTATGTAATTGGACTTTTCTAAGCCGACACTGAGTCATGTTCGCTTAAGCGTTAGATGTGGCCTGTGTATGAACTACGTATGGCCGACCACCGTCTACCCAAATAGTTATTTTTCACTCCAAACCTTTGTCGGTAAAATGTCCTTTGAGAGTGAGCAATGAATTCGCGACGCAAAATGAAAGCTGTTGCAGTCAGGCTGAGAGCTGTGGGACCTTTATATTTTGAAGAATGAGACAGAAATGATTCTCTTTGTGTGTGCTTTGAAAACCCACAAGAAACAACACGCAGCCGGTTCCCACGGCGAGTTTGCCCTCACTTCTTAACCGGACTGCCTATGTAGCGCCTGTCCGTCGGTGTGTACACGGAAAGTGTTTGATGGGGTTCCTAAAAGAAGCTGGACTAGCTCCATCCGAGGTAACGTGCTCCAACGTGGTGCTCAGACACATTTACCTCGATGGAATTGCAAGGTGTAGCATCCGCCTCTTGAGCATTTTCCCTGAAGACCTAGGGCTTTTTATATCAAGTATGCTTCCTTGGATAAGCAGTCCTCTTTGTGTGACACTAATGTGATGGCGTTCTACAAGCGCCCAAGTAATCAGCTGCGTTTGAGCAACCACTAGAAGTACTTGTCGCCGAGCAAGTGACCCAACTGACCCATGTAAAAATTATTTGCTTACAGTGGTTAATAGTAAGAAATGGTTGATATGAGCGAAGGCTTCATGCAATAAGTGATTTTTGTCCCAACTATCTTGGACATGCACAAATCAATTGAATATTTTACACGAAATTGGTTATTTCTTTTGTAAACGTCCTTTAGTTTCTTTCTCACCTTCCGTCGTTTAACTGCCTCCAGGCCCGTAGAATTAAAATTATTTTCCATGTTTGGAGGCTTTTCGTAGCTGAACCACATGTGTGTGTAACTACAGTTCTACAGAAAAGTGTTAGCAATATTTTGCAATTCCGCCCGGTTGACGCATTGATGATTCTAATTGCAGTGTGTGCGTGCAATTTGCACAAAAACATGGGTGAGAAAATAAGATGCATGGCCAGTGATTGTGGCACAAAAACGGAGGACAAGCAGTCAATTTGGGCTGCGTCCCATCGTAATGGAACCTGATGGCTAGGTGTGAGCGGGCGAAATCGATAAAAATTTGACTTGATGACATGACTGCTTATCGCCTGGTTGTAAAATATACTGTCAATATTTGCAGAACCAAAGGCAAACCATTCCATTGTCACCGTTGCCTTCGAGTTTGAGGGACTTTTCACTGAAAATTAACTCGGGAAATCGTAGATCTCAAACTTAGGTAAACCTAGTTGCGCAGTTGAGGCGGATAACCGCGTGGTACAAGTTAAGCTGAACCGTGTCGGTGCGAACAACTAACAACATTCATCTTTGTAAAACGGTGATAAAATTGCAAGTCCAAAACTGTAAGCGGTAACCCTGCTGTTTCTGATTGATCAGATGCTTCTAAGAGCTTGGAGCTTTACCTCAGTGTAAGTTTTAGCTCTTAAGCACTGAGTATTATATACACATACTAGTGAACCGGTCCAGGAAATATATTGTTTTGAGATCGTGATCCTGCTGTAGCTTGCTGCTTCTCACAAAAATTTTTGCGTTCTGTTTGATAAACATGGGACGTAATTAATGAAGATTTCGGAATAGTTCTCGTACATATGTTTGGCGTTAGCCTGTACTTTGAATGTAATCTACATTCTCTTTGTCCAAGCTTAAATGAGCACCAGTTACCGAGTCAGGTGGCTGCAATGCTGTGAGCTTCAGGAAAGCGGTTGTTAGGTTTTTGCCGGTTGGAGTGAGGCTGATTGATTAACGTCCGTGCGAGAATTCAACTGGCTTCATTTTTAAGACAGTACTTTAGATAACTCCCCATGATTCAATGTTGCCACTTTGTTTTCACAATATTTCCCGAAAAAATCCCGAAACATCCCTCAAAATTGACCGACGACAACGATGAACATTTAGATGCTCATTGAGAACGCACAAATTCCTCATGATGCCTTTTCGTTTTAAAAATCTACAACGGTATCTTATGGCCTGTGCATTTTTCAGTTGAAAGAATGTTTGGCGATGCTTGCATTCGAACCACACTACAATTAGGCATTTGTTGTGAATTTACGAAATATTCTTATTACATCTTGAGCAATATCCACTTGGTTATGTTTAATAGCCATAGGAAATGTACTGGTCGATTCATAGACGTTTGTGAGATTGTACAGAGAAGTATGGTAGTAGCACTAAATCGGGTGGAGAGAGGGGATGCAAACTTGCTCAGTCTTACACTCCTGTGCAGCAAAACGGGTTAGTTCATTTTGAGAAAATGGTGCAACATGTCATTTTCACATAATGGGACAACTTATGGCGATTGTTTTGTTAATGCTCTACTAGAACCCGAAAATTAGTTATACGAAAGAGAAAACGGAGAGCACTAACAATGTCAGCTTGTCGAGTAAAATTATTACAGTAGGTATATATGCGAACAAGGCACATATCGTTTTGCAGGTTCAGGTTGATAAATCCTGTTGTAAGTCCGGATGCAGGTTTCGTGTCTTCTTCGCTGTTGTAGCAGCCACACGTATTCCTGAATATCTGTAACTGAAGCGCCGTAAGTCCTGAGCGGCTCAGCTCCGAGTTGGGCGACGTGCGAAGATCTGTTGAGTTGTGTTGTTTTGCTGTGCTGTTATCCCATATGTAGGAACGTTTGCGTGAGTGTGGGTGTCAGCACATGACTTGTTGCTATCTTATCGGACGGTAGACAGTCGATGTCAGATGAGTAACCTTTGTGTGTCTTGATTTGTAGAAGGACGAGTCTTGGGATCAAGGCCTTGACTGTGAGCTGTGTAGTCAAGTTAGTCACGATTCTGTGGCGTGATTTGTGAGTGCAAGAAAAAGACAGATCTCGTGATCTAGCAAGTGTCGGTGAGCTGTACAGTCATGTATGTGGCGAAAGGGTAGCCACAGTTTCCACGTGTGATCGTCGAGGATCAGAGTATGATTTTGTTGTGCATTATCAAACAAGAAATTTGTTAAGCGGATGTGTATAAGAAGAATATGAAAGCGGAAAACCCTCCTGCAATTGGGTTTAAGAAGAAGTCTTGATGCTTTGTGGATTACTGCAGGATAATTAGATAGTGGAGACAGAAATGAAGGCGTTTGATAAGAAGAAAAGCTAAGCTGTTTGTTTTGATTTGGTGAACTTTTTATCCCGATGTCAAACGATCACTCTGTGAATGTATAGCTTGCTATCAGTCACCTGTTCAATATCGTCTGCCATGTGTTTTACATTACAGAACAGCAGAACGACTTTTCAGTGACTGAACAAGCGACGGAAAAACCGGACCAACTCCAATGAAGACAAACGGCAGATAATCATATAAACTTGACTAATGTTTTTCATACATTTTGCAATTTTCCCTTTCTGTGGTGCGATTGACAAAATCTCTCTTGTAACGTAAAGGATAACCCACATTGACAATCCAATACCGCTTTAATTTTCCAAAATATTCTTTTATGTCTTTGAGATCGATCTATTGCTTACAACGCTTCGTATACTGATTGGCCTCTTTATTTTGAGAACAGTACTATCATTTTGGCGTATTTTTCAATCATCACTGAGATCACTTCGTTCATACTCCCTATATTGGAAGCAGAAATGAATCGAATGGCTGCGCTTGGCTTGAGTTCACCAAATACTGATTGTTCGTGAATTAGCCTAAGACTATATTGACTGTGCAGCCGTTAGTTTGGCACGAACCTAGGTTCAAAACAGATAGAATCGGAAAATTCCTGGATGAGATCGAAGCTACAAACTAGCTTTTCATTTTAAGACGCCTGTAGCACGTGAGATGAAGTTTATTCTGATCCATTGCACTTTGCTGGAATAAGTGGGCATCCAACGAATTATTCACAGGTTGGGTCAAATGTGATATAAACCCTAACCGAAGATCGCACGAGTTCTCATGGCTGCTAATCCAGTCTTTGGTCGGCTGTTTCTTCGGTCACTATTGAAGGGCCCGAAGCAGTCGCATATGCATCACCTTCAGTTTACATCAAAACGTTGAGCTGTGTCTTAACGAATCTGGAAGGCTGACCTTTTAGATCCACGTCAATCAAGTAAACACGACTTTCAGTGGAGTTTCAGTAAGTTTACAGGATATCCAATAAAACTGAATGTTTATTCATGCATCACTCACAAGAAAGTTTTAAAATTGCCGAGAGTTCAATTTCCCGAATCTTCCATGCTGGGCAGACCTCTGTCCAGTAGTTTTCCTTTCTTTCTATGGGAGAGATGGCGTGGATATTTGGCATCTCCAAATCGGTGATCATCTTTCTTTCCGTTGATTTTACACAACAAACCTGAGGCCTCATTCATTTTCATAACGTTTATAAAACTAGTCATCTCAGACGCCAAGAAGCGTGCAGCGGACCGAAAGTAGGTAATCTCAAATTGTTTGGAAACTGTCTCAATTTTCCAGCATCAAGAAATGCTGTTATCATAAATTCTTCTGTGTTGCTTGTATACTGCTTTTCCTTTCCAGATTTGCTATTTCAACACACCCGGATGTGTATACACTTGAAATGCTCATAATATTTTCGTCGAGACCTAAGATACGACGCGTTAATATTAATTGCCAGCACACTATCGTGTCCTTCTTACCTGTTCTGACTCCTGCTGACATAACATCCACCTCTTAGCAATTGACTTGTCCGCCAAGAACACTGACAAAAGGCAGAATTAGGCTGCCACTGGTTGCTCTATACTTACATGCGGCCCTACCAATCCCGATTGTCCTCGCTGACACCAGCCCTACACCCTTCTGCGATGCACTGTGGGTCCAAATCCCGCTGCGCGGGTCCGATTCTCTCCTTCTCGGTGTGGTCTACCGTAGCCCTTCGAGTCCCCCTGA